GGTAGTAGGAGTGGAGGAGGTCGGCAGGGGGGTGTGGCTGGAGGCAGTTGTGGACAAGGGGGTGGTGGTGGTGACCACCTGGATGGAGGGGGTAGTGGTTTGGGACTCGAGGGTGGTCAACCGGCTTGAGAGGCTATCGACCGAAGTGGAGAGTGTCCTGAGGGAGTCCTGTACGGACTGAAGGATGGAGAGGAGGGATGGGGCGGGGGTGTTCTCCCCGATGGCTTGTTGGCCAACGAGTTCGCGGTGGATTTCCGGCACGGAGTCGTGCCGGAGAGAGCTCATATTGTGGCTTGGAGCACCTTTGGTCATTGGCGAGGACGAAGGTGAGGCGGCGAAGGATGGTGGAGGTCGTCATGATGGGTTGTGAGATAGTGTGGGAGTGTGGGGGGGGAAGATGGGTGATGTGGTTAGGCGAGGAACGAGGTGGTGTGTTGAAAGCGCCGAATGACGGGGGGGGGGGGGGGGGGGGGGGGGGGGGGGGGGGGGTGGATGTGGTGGTAGAGGTAGTAGGAGTGGAGGAGGTCGACAGGGGGTGTGGCTAGAGGCGGCTGTGGACGTGGGGGTGGTGGTGGTGACCACCTGGATGGAGGGGGTAGTGGTTTGGGACTCGAGGGCTGTCAACCGGCTTGAGAGGCCATCGACCGAAGTGGAGAGTGTCCTGAGGGAGTTTTGTATGGACTGAAGGATGGAGAGGAGGGAGGGGGCGGGGTGTTCTCCCCGATGGCTTGTTGGCCAACGAGTTCGCGGTGAACGTCCGCCACAGAGTCGTCGTGGAGAGAGCTCATGTTGTGGCTTGAAGCACCTTCGGTCATTGGCGAGGACGAAGGCGAGGCGGCAGAGGAGGATGGAGCAGTGGAGGTCGCGGCGGCTTTAGCGGCAGCGGCGTCGACGGCGGCGCGTTGGGAGGTCTTGGTTTGGCGTGGTGGCATATGGAGATGGGGGGGGGGACAATTCCTTATTTATTCACAGTACAATAAATTCAAAAATAAATAAATAAAGATAATTGCCAAGATTTTTCAAAAAGAAAAGGGAATAAAAATGGGTGGGGGGGCAGGAATTAATTTTGAATAGATTTATTCGACCAGAACTTTATTTATTCGAAATTAATTCGAAAATATGGGTAGAACAAAATTTTGGAAGAACTCGAAGGAGAGATTTGCAAAACGAAATTTTTTGAAAAATTGCCAAAGAAATAAAGGCTAAAAATATCGGAAAAAGAAATGATTAATTTCGAAGAAAAATAAATTTTGATTTGAATTCAAATTTATTCAAAATTTATTTACAAGAAAACGTGAAATTTAGGAAAGAAAGAGGTAATCCTAGATTACAGAAAAGGGGAAAAAAAAAGAAATTGGAAGAGGAGATTTTAAATTGTTTTGCAGGATTAGGAAAATTCGGAAGGTGAAATAATTAATTCTTAACATATTTTTAAAGCATGAGAAAATAATTTCTTGTTTTCGAATTAAAGTAAATCTGGAAAATTATTATTATTATTATTATTTTTTGAAAAGTCATATTTTGCAAGAAAGGAATTTGGAATTTTAGATTAATTTCGAAATGGGATTGAAACTAAGGAGCAATTTATTTTTACAAAGTGCAATTACCAAAAAATTTGAATGAATTTGATATAAATGGCTAATTAAATCGGGAGGGTATTGAAGGAC